ATTTTTTTTAAAAAGAAATATATATAATTAAAATTATCTTTGCTAAATCCTTAAAAATCTTTTAAAAAATTTAAATTATTGAATTCGTGTAAGTTAAATGGATGATTTCACCAATATATTTTTTTTCAGATATTCTAATGGAGTACATGTTAAAAATATATTGATTACTACTGAACATGTTAAAGTACTTTTTGTTGACATTTAAAACAGAACTATCAAATTACTAATGCAGACCATAACAATAAATTCATGAATGAAATACGAGAAATATTAAACTATTTTGGAACTATTCCAAACATATATCGTCTTTAATTAAAGTTTATTTTTCAGGTTAAGTTTAATATCCTTTTTTTTCAAGTTACATCAGAAAATTTGAGGTAAGATTTTTTAAATAACATAAATATCACGATACAAAGTGCGGCATTTAAAAATCCGCATCGGTGCGACCGGCAGCACGCTCGGGATTTAATCTCGGTGGTGCCGAGCCAAACGGATAAGACAAGTCAATCCGTTTAACCCGGGATTTAACGCGAATTCGATAAAATTCCCACCTCGTGCGACCGCTAATTCGTTTGTGGTATAGAGATAGACGACACCACACAATATATAAATAAAGATTTTTTTAGTGTTTCTTTCCTATTTTCTTTGGGAGGTGCAAGTGACTAGTTTCAAATTATATTAATTAAGTACCAGTTGCCCCCTTTCGGTCATCTTCACCGCATTAACAGGAATAGAATTTCAATAGCATTATGTTAAAATGTATTTTTCTTTTGCATGTAATTTAAATTTCTTAATACATTTCAGTACTTACCACTTTAATTACTACAATTGCATACATGAATAATTATCAAATTTAACTAATTGTGAATTATTTTTAGGGTTTTAAAGTCGAAATAAATGGCATATTGGCTTAAATAAATGCGAAGGAATTATTATTTCCATGCAAAAAACGATCAAATTGTAACATATCTGTTGTCATATAGTATCTTAATACTTACTACTTTATACGAATAGAATCGAATTATTTCGCTAATTACAAGTCTTTATCGATTAAAAAGATAGCTTATTTAACTTAAAATCGACAAAATTCTATAATAAGTTTGCATCTTACCTTCTAAATTTAACAAAACTTTTTACAATTCATACAATTGATCCGAAAACGATCGGAACGAAGTCACTGCAGTCGACACGACACCCCCTGGTGTCGATAGATGGCAATTTTGTGATGGTTAATGTCGTCTGCTCTTTTACTTTTTTTTTTTTTTTAGTTACTTTTTCAAAATTAAAACGAAAATTGAAGTGAGTAAAAATCTAATTATTTAGTTAAAAGTTGTTTATTTTTATATACTTTCAATTATGTTAATTTTTTTTTTTTTTTTTTAAATTGTGCAAGGAAAGGTAATGTTATTAANCCGAATATTAACATTTATACAGCAAGTCAATGAAGTATTTGCACTGTACATCCTGACTTTTCTGGAAAATATATAAGTAACATTTATTAATGCATATTGTTTTATAAGTTTATAATGCACATAATTTACATATTAATCAATGTCAAAATTTTAAAATTATTCTCTATTCTAAATATAATAAAAATTGTTAAAAAGAAATGCTAATACAGTATTTACACACCTTACTGAATACATTCATTAATAAAGAAACTTTTAAAAATGATGCTCTTCCAATCTTCCACAGCTGCTTTTCTTAGGTTTAAAAACACTTTATTGTACAAATTAATCAGTAAATGCATTGGAATTTGGAAATGAGTCAAAAAGTAAAGGAATTCAGTATGTTTCAATGAATAGAGAAATTTACTCTGAGAAAGTTTGAGAGAAATAGCATGCATTATAAAAGAAAAACATTAGTACTGTTTCATTGTATTGTAAACAAATTTATACACACTGATAAAAAATTGAGAATATGCACCATTCAGAATGGCCAAAAATATCAGATGATCAAGAAGAGTAACAGAAATTGAAAGAAGTAAAGAAAAATGCTAAAATTAGCACATTGAACCTGGCAAGTGACATTGCTTTAAAATCTGGAAAAAGGATATGTGCAGAATAAATAAGAAAAATGATCTGGAGAGGAGGATATAATAGTAGTAAATAAAATACCATTCTTAAGTGAACAGAATGAAATGAATAGAACAGAATAGAATGAAATGCCTAGATTTTGCTACAGTATTATATTGGATTACTTATATAAACCAACATAATACTGAAAATGTAATATTTTCTGATTAAAGAAAGTTTAATTTATTTTTGTGTGATGGAAGAACAATGATCTGCAGAAAACAAAATACAGAATTAAATAAAAAAGTTTAGTTCTTACAGTAAAGCATGGAGGTGGTAATGTCATACAAGTAGAAAATCTGATATTTATTGATAATATTATGCATATAAAAGCATAAAATATTATCTTTGTTGATATTATGAATACTAAAGCATGTTTAAAGATAATGCAAGGTAATTTAATGGAAAGTGCAAGACAAATGGGATGAGTGAACAATGTTATTTTCTAGCAGGACAACACTTCTAAACATATTTTCATAAAATAAAGGAATGGATGTTTTAGAAATTAAGAAGAAAATTTTCTCATCCACCCCAAATTCCAGACATCAATCACATTGAGAATTTATAACACATTTTGGATATAAACAAAAGAAAATTTAAGATAACTAACAAAAATTATCTCAAGTAATACGTGATGGAAGAATGAGGAAAACCAGTCTGCTGTGAAATTACTTTTATCCATGCCAAAACTATTGCGAGAATTGATCAAAAGAAAAAAATTTCAAATAGAAATTTCAATAGATCTCTATGAGGACTTCTGATTCCAAGTGTGCAAATACTTTATTGACTGTAGATTTCATTTTTTTTTTTTTTGTGAAAGTTTTCAGATAGAAATTAGTATTATGTAAATTATTTTTCATACTAAAAAAAATAAATAAATCATACTGCATGAATTAAAATGTTTTAAAAATGATCCGTAGAAAACATATCTGTATTTATTAGAAGAGGCTAATAATAAATGTTAGAGTTTAACAATTTATCATTTACAGTTGTATTCCAACAAAATTTGGGGTATGCAAATACTTTATTGATTCACTGTGTAAATAACTTATTATTTGAATGATAAAACATTCAAATCTTTCATTTCATATTATTTTTTGTAGAAATCTGAATAAGAAATCAAATAAAAATCTGATATTTATATTACTAAAAAAATAAGTTAATAGATTTCTTAAATATTTAATAGTTTCTTAGATTCAGTGAAGAAATTTCACATTTTTCATATTTAGATAAATTTGAAAGATAGTGATTTCAATAATGAAAGAAATGTTTACATTATTGATAATACAACACACAATTCATAAGACGTATTATAAACTGTTTGCCAATTGTAATGAGAATTTTTAACTTAAAAATGCAAAATTATCATAAGATTATAAATTGTCACAAATTGTATTGATGGGTTTTAAAAAATACACAAATTTATTTCTGGAGAAAAGTCCAATGGAATTTTTATTTTTGTAGAATTTCCTATACATGTATTGTAATTACAAATAAATATTTAAAAATTTCAATGCAATAATTTTCATAGAGAGCAAATATAATTGAAAAATGATCTTTCTATTTTTCGACAATATAAAGGAAATTCTACTTTCTAGCTTGGTTGTCATTATTTTCAAGGTATTAGTAAATTTAATTTAATATTCTCAAATTAAATCAATAACGAATTCATTTATGTAACAATTAATAACTTTATAACAGGATAATTTATTATTAAAAAAAAGAAACAATATCACATTATAGAAAATTTTAATCAATATAATTGACAAAATAAAAGCTTATTTTCTACATACAATATAACTTCAAAGCTTGAAAATAAAACTATATTGCACCTGATAATAAAGAATGAAATTTCCTCAATGTCCTCAGTCATCACTTAATGTCATCAATAGGCTCCCGGAAACTACGACATTAAGTGAAATGACATTTAATGAAACTAATTTTACCATAGGCTAAATTATATAAACTAGTGTTAAATTTCCTATTTTGATTATATTTTCATTTATTAGGCTTTAAATAAAATGAGATAAATTTGTATATAATATATTATAACATTTATATTTTAATGACTTTGAAAAATAAAAAAGTTGGTTCTTTTTATTAAATCTTATAATTTATTAAATTTATTATTTTAACAAAATTTATCAAATTAATGCAATCAAAAACTGTCAAAAAATAATGTATGATGCCTCAGGTACTTATTATTTAATTAATGACTACAAGCTAACAGCTGAAAATAAGAGCCCACACAAATATATTTTTTTATCAAAGGGTCTGCAACCTTTCAAAGTTTTGAAACTACTATAGTAAACTGTTATGTTTTATCAAAGATATTTGAAATTTTGGTTGCTGCATAATATTTCTGAATTGTAATGTTTATAAAATTAAACTACAAATTATTATTTTTATTATACTAATTATTATTATTATTATTTAAGAAATGTAAATAATAATATCCTAATATGCAGCAAATTATATACTAAAATTGATTTACAATACAAAGTCAAAATTGTATTTTATTTATCGAATATAAATAAGATCTAAAAATTATGGTAATACATTCAAAACATTATGTAAAAACCATCCATATAAAATCTGAATAAATTTCTTCAAAGTTTACTTTAAAATTCAAAATTATCAGATGACTTCTGATTGACTCATTCCACTCTGTACATACTTAGAGAGCCTTTTAATCATTCCCATTGTGGGCTTGGCCAGATTCACAATAAAGTAGCCAGATAGTGAGATATGAGGCACAGAATATCCAAAAAACCCCCCAAAAAATTCTTGGGATTTTTCAACCATTTGGATTCATTCCCGGGTCCCTAGAGCAGTAACTAGGGGATGGAGCTGAAACCTTAACCATTCCTCCATCTGGCTATTGCAATGCTCCTGATCAGATGTTTCTTGCTAATATATTGATTTGTTCATATCTATGATAAATAACCTTTCTATATTATTAGATTTTGTATTATATTCTTTCATAACCTATAATAAAGAGTACAGGTACATTTTCAAATAAGTTAGCAAATGTTGATTGATTACGGTACATCGTAACAGTTTATAATTTCATACTGTTATATTTTATCACGAAAAAGTATTCATCATCACAATTTTCTCTAATTTTGTTTTAGCTTTAAAGCAGTGTAATAATATCCAATAATGTATTAAAAGAAAAAAAAAAGCAAAAATTAAGTAAATTTGGAACTTGGCATAGAAATAATGGATTTCTGTTTTACAGCACTGCAGGAAACTTGTGACTAAAATAGAATTTAAAAAATATATTTGATATTTAAAGATCATCATTAATATTTCCTTATTATTAAATTTAAGGAAAAAAAATTATGGGTAAGAACAATTACTTCTATATATTTAATTGGCCAATAAAATTAGCCTTTATTTTTGAGACATTGACTGATATTGAAGAATTTAAAGTACAGAACATAAAAAATTTTTTAAATTATTGGTATCACAGATTCATTAAGTACATATCTTTTATACATATTTTATAA